CACCCAGGGGATAAGTGCAGAGCCAATAATTCAACTGGATAACCCATGCATAAAAACCCTATTGAGAATTCTTAACTCAGGGTCCAGGAGCAGCTAAGATAGAGCTCTGGGCCCAGAGTCAGGAAGACATAAGTGCCTCAAACACTTACTAGCTGTGTGGCCCTGGGCAAGTCACTTAACCCTGTTTGCCTCAGTTTCCTCATCTGTAAAATGAGCTGGAGAAGGAAATGGCAAACTGCTTCCATATCTTGCCAGAACCCCAAAAGGGGTCACAATGAATTGAACGCAACTGAAAAACAACAAAAACAATGTGCCCATCACTGTGGTAAGGGAATGGGATTAATTAAAAAAAAAATCAGAAACAGTCTGTGCCATCGAGAAGCTCACCAAGGCCTTACTAATGACTTTCTAATGGGGGAAATGACATATACATAATTGTCTAGGATAAATGTAGAGTAGATAGAAGGTGATCTTAGAAGGGGGGAGGGCTTGTAGCTTCAGGGCCTGGGAAAGGCCTCCTGCAGAAGGTGGGGTTTGAGCTGAATCCCAAAGGAAGCCAAAGAAACTGTGGCTCAGAAGTGAGGTGGGCAGAGCATTCCAGCCCAGGGGAGAGCCAGTGCCAAGGCGTGAAGTCAGAAGATGGAGGCAGGTGGCTGGGACCATAGAGTGTGAGGAGGGGAGTCTATGTATGAAGAATGGAAATATGGGAAGGGGCCAAGAGCTTTAAATGCCACACACACACACACAGAAGTTTATCCTAGAAGTTAAGATAAAAAATTTTTTAAAACTCCAGTGACTTCCTATTTATAATAAGAATAATAATATATAATAAACATAATATATAATAATAATAATAATGTATAATAAAATATAATAAGAAAGGAAACAAAAATTTATTAAGCACCTACTATGTGCTAAGCGCTTTACACATATTAACTCATTTAATCTGCACAACAACCCTGGGAGGTAAGTGCTATTATTATCCCCATTTTACAGTTGAGGAAAGTGAGGCAAACAGAGGATAAGTGACTTGCCCAGGATCATACAGCTAGGAAGCGTCTGGGGATGGATTTGAACTCAGGTCTTCCTGACTCCAGGCCCAGTCCTCTATCTTAGCGGCCATAATAATAATGTTTGACTTCACTGATATAGACAGTCTGATATTGTTTGGCAAAACAACTCACCTGGAAAGGAAGCATAAGACCATTGTTCCCTGGTGACATCTACCCTTGTAATAGACACCCTTGTCACCATTCCTGAAGATGGGCATTAGAGTTTGAATTGTTGGAGGAGACGGATTAAGTTTTCTGCCTTAGTTTCAAGTCTAAGTAGCCATAGGGGGCGAAGGGAACTCTTTCTGAAATGTGGACTTGAGGGCTCAGCCTTCTAACTCTCCTCTTTCCTGGTTTTAGAGAGACCTACCATAATGTTCCCTCTAGGGAAGTAAGGTGACAATTCAAGTGTGAGGTTTCTAACCAATAAATTGGTCCGGAAAACAACACAGGAGAAATCCTGTGTTAAGAGAGGTCATTAGGAAATGATTCCAGGGTATTGAACAGATGCCAAGAAAGTTAAATTGTCCATTTCAGCCTTGGGGAGAAAACAGCAGAACCTTTCAGATGCAGAGACCTCACTTTTCGAATTGCTTTTTAAAGAGATTTTTATTGATGCCTTTTATTTTCGCATTGCCTAGATTTTCCCCAGTTTCCTTTTTCTTCCCCACTTCCCAGAGAGCCTTCTCTTATAACAAAGAAATTTTTATTATTTTTGATCCTTCTTTCTTTTCCCCCAATTACACATCATAACAAAGAATTTTAAAAAGAAAAAGAGGAAGAAGAAGGAGGGTGGAATTCAGCAAAATCAATCAATATATCCCAAACCTGACATTATGCTATGTTCCACATGGACCTCCCTCCTCTGAAGAGGAAGGGAAGAAAGTATATAATTCTGATTCTTAATCTTTCTTTCGAGGTCGCAAAGTGTACATACTAACCATGGGGCTCAGCCAGAGCCCCTGAGAGATCCCCAAATTGTCTGGTCCACCACCAAACAGCTTCTGCAGCAGGAAGTAGGGAGGACAAGCTTTTCCCAGCCTTTCCAAACTTGGGTTATCACCACCTCCGGCTCGTCCACAAAAGCCTCGTTTGTCAGTGGCCTTGTTTCCACTTTTTTCATGCCCCTGCCCACAGTCACAGAGGCCCCAGATGGCAGATACCATCAGGAACCTAGTATAAACTATCACCTTTCTGGGCCTCAGTTTCCTCATCTGTAAAATGTAGCTTTTCAATTTCATCTTCTTGCTGTCTTGTTCCAGCCAACAGAATATCTCATAAGCTATCATCCCAGTTTTATGTGATCGGTACACTTGGTAATATTAAAGCTCACTCTTCTTCTTCATCTAAGTCATTAATACATATATTGAGCAGAACAGTGTGGAGGACACTTTGGGCATACCACTACTAGATACCACTTTCCAGGTTGAATGTGAGTTCCTGGTTTCATTTTTGTCTTGACAATAGGTGATAGATGATGTTTGTGGAAGTGAATTGGATATTGTCTGTTAATTGACTTTGTCTTCTGTTGGTTGAGAATCTTTCTCCCTCTTCCATCATCCTGCCCACCCAACCACCTGATCCACATTTGTGAGATACCTTTCTGAAATCAAAGTCAACTTTGCCAAAGCACCAAAAATAAATAAAAGGAGGGGATTGGACAGCACCCGAGGACCTTCCAGCTCTCCCTCTGTGCTACTACACCATCATTCTAAGGGAACTGTTAGGAAAAAGGAAAGCCCTTTGTCAACCTTTGACCTCATACATGGGAGCTATTGGATATACCAACCAACCGAAGCCCCAACTCGGCCGCGGATGTACAGTCTACAGCCCCCTCTTGCCTGCGATCTGACTTCGCTGAGCCTGGCTTTTGTTTGCTGGACCAGCTGCCTTAATGGTGTGTCCTCACTGCTCAGTCTTTGGGGTGGGTGAGTTCTTACCTAGCCTCCCCCCAGGATGCCGCCAGTGGGCGGTACAAGCTGATGTACACAGCAGTGACTCACTGTTGCCCCTCCTTCCCCAGACAGTCTGCAGCTCCCCACCCTCATTAGCCTCCTCAAATGCCCACACTTCCTGACAATTGTCAGGACGAGAGATTCTGCCTCTCTCTTAAGCTTTCAGGAAGCTGCATGTTCTTCACCTCTGTGTCTCTGACATCTCTTGGGTTGGTTGGGATTTTTTTCCTAATACTGTCTGCAGAGCAAACACCGCTCCTTCCTCCAGCTCAGCCTCCCTGATACAAGTCAGAGATGGGGGAAAAGTCTCCCTTCCCTGCTGCCCATTATCCAAGACACCCAGGCTCTTGTCCCTGCTTCTAAGGGATGGACCCTGGCTGCTGCCTGCTCTGCCCGTTTCAGAAGCAGACACCGATCCTCCATAGGAGAAAGGAGCAAGTCCCCAGCCACATGTGGGTTACGAGGATGTAATCAAAGGATGCTGTGGTGGACAAAGCATTGATAGAATGGGCTGATCTGCTTTCCTGGATTTTCTCACTCCAGTCTATCCGGCTGTTGTCTGCCCACAGCCTGGCTTCTCTGAGGCTGGGAGCCTGGAGCCCCATGTCCCCTGCACTAGTCACTTTGAGGATGTGCCCTAAACAGATGCAACCGGAAGTGCCAGACTTCCGCTTAAATTCCAAGAACATTAGGACTGGAAGGGACGTTAGAGAAGATCATTTTATAGCTGTCTGCGGTGCCTGTACCTGTGATGACTACCTGAGGTTCCCCAGTTTGGACCCCAGCCTCTTGGCTGCTATAATGATAAAAAGTTACGTGGCCTTCATCCATTTGGATTTCTGACCTCATGACACACAGTTGAAAAAAAAAATTGGACCTGCCCTGCTTAAAGTGGATTAAGAAGGACAAAACTGGGTTTAAAGAGATGTGGATTTGAGTCAGTCAGTCAAGAAGCACTTATTAAGCACCTACTATATGCCAGGCATTGTGCTAGCTACAAAGGGGAAAGCAGTCCCTGTCCCTTTAAGGAATACACTTACTACACATGTGGCTTTGAGATAGTCATTTATTCTTTCTGGGCCTCATTTTTCTCTTCCATAAAATGTTGTTCAGTCATTTCCAAATCTCTGTGATCCCATTTAAGGTTTTCTTTTCTTTTATTTATTTATTTGTTTTTTGGTATGGCAGTTGGAGTTAAGTGACTTGCCCAGGGTCACACAGCTAGTGTCAAGCATCTGAGGTCAGATTTGAACTCAGGTCCTCTTGACTCCAAGGCCAGAGCCCTGTCCACTGCACCACCTAGCTGCCTTCCATAAAATGACAAGATTAAATAATCAAGGTCCCTTCCTGCCCTAAATCCTCTGGTCCTCTGAATTGCTTGTCTAATAATCAGGATAGAGGTCCCCAAGAGGCAGTATGTCATGGTGGTTACAGTGCCAGACTTAGAGACAGGAAAAACTGGATTCAAACCCTACCTCCTTACTTAATAGAATGTAAGCTTCTTGAGGACAGGTACTATTCCACTATTGTCTTTGTGTGTCCAGCTCCTAGAACTACCTGGTACGTAACAGGCTTTTAATAAATGCTAATGGATTTTAATAAGCTCAAATGGTTGATGGATCGTTGGCTGTGTGACTCATGGCAAGCCACTCAGCTTCTGTTTCCTCATCTATAACACGAGGATAATAATCCCTGGAGCACTTGGCTCGGAGGGTTGTTATAAGACTAAAATGAGACGATGTGAGCAAAACACTTTGCAAACCTTGAAGCTCTATATACTTCAGAGCATAGAGAAGCACATAGTTTGCAGACTTTAATATATTATATAAATGATAGTTACTGGGGCAGCTAGGTGGTGCAATGAATAGAGCACTGGCCCTGGAGTCAGGAGGACCTGAGTTCAAATCCAACCTCAGACACTTGACATTTACTAGCTGTGTGACCCTGGGCAAGTCACTTAACCCCATTGCCTAGCCTAAAAATAAATGGCAGTTACTGTTATGCGGGAAACACAGATCCTTATTCTTTGTTGGCTTTTAAGGGCTCCTGGGCTGGCAGGCTTTCAAGTATAAAAACAGAGGCTCTAGCTCTCTTTCTCGATGAAGAGCCTGAAGATCTGAAGAAAAGAAACAATCGAAGTTTCACTTCTCCATGGAGAGCCTTGGAGAGCACCCTCCCCCCTCCATCAAAGTGCCACCGAGGGACCCCTCATCCCAGTCATCTTCCACGTAGCTCAAGCCTTGGGAAAGCTCCTTTTCAGCACTTTTGTCCCCTCAGAGCCTCCCCCCGGCTCCTGCTCCCTGGGCCTGGGTCAGTATCTCAACACAGCCATATCTAGCTTATATAATCCATAGCCCGCTGCCCCAGGATTCGGGTTTTCCTGGATTATTTTACAGTACTATTGCTGCTGCTGCAGTACCTTATGGTGCATTACTAAACTCCCCTAGAGAGGAGGCAAACTGTGGGTTGCTAAGGAGGCAACGTCCTTTCACACTGGAATAACTCACAGCAATAGGGTCTGTCTAGGCAATATTTCACACCCATCATACCCATGGCCAGGTGGGAGAGAGGTGCGAGGATACATCAAAAGGATTAACTAAAAATTAAAGGAAGGAAGGTAAGATAAAATTAAGTTTCAGTGCATGGGATTGGTGAGTTGTGGGGTCTAGGAATCTTGTCCCAGAGCTCTGTTGCTCTGCTGCTGTCTACCCAGCATGTGGACACGTACTCAACATGTGTTTGTTGATTGACTGCCTCTGAGGTTCTAGACCCAGCACTGCTAATGACTATGTGTATAGAGGAAGAACTTAACTCTTTTTTTTTTTCCAAGAAGAAACTCCTCTTAATCCAATCTAATTCAACAAACATGTATTTAGTGCCAGATAGATGGAACATTTATTAGGCACCTGCTGCATGCCAGTTACTGTGGTCAATCGCTGGGAATACAAGTCAAAAGAAACAGTCCCTGCCCTCTAAGAGCTTACATTCCAAAGGGAGAAGACAACACATAAAAGGGAGCTGAGAGAGGGGAGAGGGGGAACTACAGTATATGCAAAGCATTGACCCAGCCTCTGGTGACAAAGACAGAAATAGAGCAATCCCTGACCCCAAGGAGCTTACATGCTACGGGTCCTATCCTGGACAGTGCAAGACAGAATGAGTAAGTTAGAAGTATATTGCAGGCCATGTGGACCGGCCGCCTCTCATGAGACTCAAATGAATCAATGGGTCCTACTTGAGAAGGCTTCCCAGACACAGCTAGACAGAGAGAAGCCAAGACTCTTGTGGCAGGTCTAATAAGAGGCCTGGACCATTTGTTGGGCAGCCAGGTAGAGCACTGGATAGAGTGCCAGGCCTGGAGTCAGGAAGACTTAGCTTCCTGAGTTCAAATCCAGCCTCAGACACTTCCTAGCTATGTGACCGTGGGCAAGTCACTTAACCCCGATTGCCTAAAAAAAAAAAAAATGAAGGGGATAGACTATGGCCCCTATGATCCATCCCAATCCTAAGTCTACAGTCCCACTTTCCAAAGTTCTGTGACATCCAGTATCTCATTGATAACTTAACAACCTTCCCGTAAAGCAGGTAGAGCAGGAGTTATTGTCCGAATTTAGCAGATGCAAAAATAGGCATTGGAAAGCCAGAGGTCTTGCTCATGGTCACGCTCTCAGCTATCAACAAAGTAGGACCAGAATCCAGGGTCATAGGATCTTGGGTTGAAAGGGACCTTAGGGGTCATTTCATCTCACAGCTTCATTGTACAGATGAGGAATTTGAGTCCTAAAGAGGTTAAGTGTGTTGCCTGATATCACACAGACAATGACAGAAACAGAATTAGAAACAGGGTCCTTTAGGTTAAAATCCAGCGTTCTTTCTACAGTGTCTGCTTTCCACAGTGTCCCTACCCATGGGTTTGAAAAAAAATTTTCTATTAATCTCATGTTTTTATAAAAACCTTAATTTCCTGATATATCCCTCCCCTCTTCTCTATTCAGAAAGCAAAGCATAAAAAAGAAAGAAAAGAAATTCAAGAAAAACCACCACTTGATCCAACAGTGTGCAGTATTCCACTCCCATGGTCCCCACCTCTACAAAGAAGGGAAGGGGGGTGTTGTCATACCTTCTTCAGGGCCAAGAGTGATTGTTGTAATTATACAGCATTTAGTTTCTAATTTTTGGTATTATTATTCTTTCTACTTAGATTGTTATAGTCATTATGTATATTTATGTTCCTGTCTCTGTTCCCTTTACTTTGCATCCACTCATATAGATCTTCTCAAGATTCTCCGTATTTTTTATATTTATTTTTAAGGTGCTGTAATATCCCACTATTTTCATGTTCCACAATTTGTCCCTTAGTCAAACGTTATTCCCACTACATCAGACGGGGGAATGAGTAGAGGGATGATGATAACCCTTACTGAAGCCCTTTGTTCTGATGGAATTTTTATAGTTAACAAAGCAAGTAACACCCACTCATGGGTTTCATAGGGCCACTGGCTTCCAAATATCCCTCCTCCAATACTCCTCATCCTTGTTCTGCAGAGTTCAAAAGTTGCCATGCTCAGCCTGACCTGGGAGACCTAAAGCCAACTTCCTCTTTTTATGGAGAAAAATTACTTTCTTTACATGATGACAGGAGAGATGGGGAAGACTGGTCCCTGAGGACCAGAATTCTCAGTTATCAGCTAAATGTCATAAAATCTTGGAATTTTCAAGTGGGAAATGACCTTAGAGGTTATTAGCCTAACCCTTTCATTTTATAGATGAGTAAGCTCAGGCCTAAAGACAGAAGTGTCTTGCTGCAAGCCGCACAGGTGGTTAATGGAACTGGTGGGAACTCAGGGCTTCCAACTCTCAGGCTGGTGCCCTTTCCACTCAAACCACGGCCTCACCCTTACACAAGGTCACACACCAGTCTGGATCATCTGCCTTTTAGAGGGAGCAGAATCACTTCCAAGTCCCTTCCCTCCATCTGGGAAAATTTTGCTTCCTAGGAGGATCAAGGGAAGTTAAAAGGGTCTGTGGCTATGCCCGGTGTTACCCATTCCGGCCTGGATAAGTGAAACTCACTGAAGTCAGTCTGATGCAAACCAGATCCAGCGTGCTCTGAAGAGCCCCCATTAATCTGTCAGAACAATCGCTCACAGCTGTTTTCACTTATACACAGCATTCCCTGGCCCCTGGCCCCGAAGACCTCTGGGACTATTCGTATTTATGTTTTCAGGCTTGATCTTGAGGTATTTTACCACTCACTCCAAGGCCTAGGGAAAAAACCAATGGGCACTGGCACTCCACAATGCTGAGCATCTGGAGGAGGAAGGGGCAGCTCTGTCCTTAATATGATTGACTCAAGATCTGTCCCCAGACATACCGTGTCGATGCAAGTCAGGTAGAGAATGGCTTCTTTATGCCGACAGACACTTGAAGCCCAGCTAGAGTTACTGCTCACACTGGAGTTCCCAGTTCTTCTAGGATGGAGGCTGAATCTTGATACTGTCTTCTCTCAACATACCTTGTCTTTATGCTCAGAACTTCCCTGTTTCCTCATTTAAGGTATCATTGAAATCAAAGCAGCTCACGTCTGGGGAGTATTATTGTGTGTCTCAATGGAGACACGCCACTCTACCATAACTGATCCAGGAGCTGGGAACTCCTGGATACTCTGCCTCCTGGGTAGCTGATTGTGGATCTCCATGTCAGAACTCTTACAAGAGGGAAGATTGGGAAGTCTGATCCCCTTACAGGAAGTTGCCTGGCTCGGACAGATCATAACAGCATAAAAAGTTAAATGTAGAAAGGGTTTTATTGATTACCTAGCCTGCTTTACTTCATCTTACTTTTCTAAATTTTATTTTAATCTGAGCTTATAACGCCAAAAAAATTTAACATTTTCACATACAAAGTAAAACAGAAAATGAAACTGAGAGTACATGAAATTGAGAATCTCTATTATATACAGCTTGCATTTCTTTTATATATATATACAGTAAATTTAGCATGTAATGTTAAAAGCTTTCCTGTTTGTCACTTTCCTTCTCTCTTTCTTTCTATTATCTTCTCCCTCAATGGCCTTCTTTTCTTTCTTTTTCTTTTTTTTAATAATTCTATCACTCTCTCTTTTCTCCCTCCTACCTCCTCCATCCCTATATAAAAAAACCCTTTTAATAAATATGTGTTGTCAAGAAAAACAATTCTCATGTTGGCTGTCTCTAAAAACATGTCTCCTTCTGTATATCCTGACAGGAGGTGGGTAGCATGCTTCACCATCGGTTCTCTAGAAAATGGTGGTTGATCATTGCATTTGTTTTCTTTTTCTTTTAATTTTTTTGTGAGGCAATTGGGATTAAGTGACTTGTCCAGAGTCACACAGCTAGTAAGTGTCAAGTGTCTGGTCTGAGACCAGATTTGAACTCAGGTCCTCTTGACTTCAGTGCCAATGCTCTATCCACTGTACCACTTAGCTGCCCCTGGTTATTGCATTTGTCAGGGTGTGTACCGACTGAATCTATCAATCACCCCCACCCTCACTTAAAGTAACTCCCTTAATCAGGTGTGAACATCTCTGTTTAATCAATAAATCAAAGATATTAAACTAGGTAGGAAAAGTCTTTAAATCTGTTTTGGAAGGAATGAAAGTCATTGCCTGAAATTAAATAATGCTACATAGAAAGTAGATTGGGCTTTGCACAAAATGCTGTCATGCACTATGGGTCTTGTATAAAAATAGCAAACCAGGTTGGATTCCAACCTTCTGTTAATCAATAAAGCATTGCGGAGCACCTACTAGTGCCAGATATGGTTATAAATGCTAGGGATACAAAGAGATGCAAAAGAGAGTCCCTGCCCTCCAGAATCTCACCATCTAAAGTGAGCTTGTGATTTTAGTGGTAGACCAGCTTAGTGGTGGAGGCAGGTCCAACCAACCCACTATGGGGAAATTATTTGGGAGGATGGAAAGAAAAAGAGCCAAAAACAAATTAGACCCACTTCAGACAACTTCAGGACTTTACAAAGAGCCCAGCAGAAAGCTACACTATACCTAAGGAGAACCTCATGAGGACTCCACAAAGGGAAAAAAGGGAACTTCCATCAGCTGTGAGTTACCATCCTTGTCTCATTTGCTCTAAGCTTGAGCCTGCTTTCTCCTGGTTCTATGGGAGTGTGTCCCAGATACTTGAGGGGGTGGGGGGAATGTTTTGTACTAACTATTCTGATTTACTAGCTTAGTAAATATCTGTTTCTAAAACCTAATTTAGACTGGCTGGTTAATTAATATCAATTGATAGTCAAAGGGGGAGCACACCAGTAGATGCTCATGATCTATTGGAAAGACACTCCCAACTTCTTCAGAGTTACTCCTAGAGCCCTGAGGTAGAGAAAAGGCCAACTGTCCTCTAGGAACCTAGCCAGCCAGTGCAAACGTCGATTAAAAGAGTGGGCCTAGAGCCTGTGCTATACATTGATCAGAGTTCTTAAGACTTTCAAAGTTGCTTTCTTTGTAGTGGTGTTAATATATAAAGTGGTCTGCTCACTTCATTCTGCATTAGTTCAAACAAGGCTTCCCAGGTTTTTTCTTTTTTCTTTTTTTTTTAGGCAGTTGGGGTTAAGTGACTTGCCCAGGGTCACACAGCTAGTAAGTATCAAGTGTTTGGTCTGAGGTCAGATTTGAACTCAGGTCCTTCTGACTTCAGGGCTGGTGCTCTATCTACTGCGCCACCTAGCTGCCCCCTAGGTTTTTTTCTGAAGTGGCCCCTTCTGTCAATTCTTAGAGCTTAGTAATATCGCATTACATGTATATACTGTAATTTGTGGATTAATTCCTCAGTTGCACCACTTTACTTCCCAGTTCTTTAAAAAAAAAGGCTCCTATAAATATTCTTGTAAATATGATTCATTTTCTTCTTTCTTTTCTCCCTTTGGAGAACAGGACAATGTTAAGTGTGCACAATTTAGTGAGTTTGGGGTACGAAGTGTAGTTCCAAATTATTTTCCAGAATGGCTAGACAAATTCATAGCTCTACCAACAATGCATGAGTGGGAATCCCTTCCAACAGTTTTCATTCTAAACTACTTTATTTTATAGGGGAGCCCAGAGAGATAACTACCTTTGCTACTGAGGTCACATAGAGCAAGTAGCAGAGCTGGGATTTGAACCCAGGGTTTCCATCCTGCAACATGGAAAAATCCCTGGGTTTCACCACATTCTCCCAATTAGTCAAAACCCTCCCCTGAACCTAGATTTCCAGAGGCTTCCGAAAGGAATCAGTCAACAAAGAGATGAAAAATCCCCCATTTCTTGTCTAGGTATGCAGAGAGAGGGTCAGTACCAAGAGCTGACATCTGCCACCAGGCTACATGTGTGTATTAGATAGAGTTGAAGCTCTCTCCTCCCCAGTCTTCCAACCAGCGCATCATGAAAATGTCTTTGGGAGTGGAGTGTGATGTCTTGTGAATTTTTTACTAAGGAAGTTCAAGTATCAGGGACCGTGACGGAAAGAAGAGAAGGGCAGCTGGGGTGTGTGTGTGTGTGTGTGTGTGTGTGTGTGTGAGAGAGAGAGAGAGAGAGAGAGAGAGAGAGAGAGAGAGAGAGAGAGAGAGAGAGAGAGAGAGAGAGAGAGAGAGAGAGAGAGATCTCCTTGAGGAGCTGTTCTTTATTTTTTTTCATCTTTCTGTCTTCTACAGAATGCTAAACCTTACATATTTTAGAGAATAGTTGCTAGGCGCTGGACCTGTGATTTCAGTGTTATAAGGAATGCCCAGCAGAGGAATCTCCCTCTACCAATAAAAGTCAGCATCTTCTCTAAAACTTGTAGTTTGAAAAGTTTTATAGGTCACTGACTTGCCCAAGGTCATACAACCAATATGTGTCAGAGACAGAATTTGAACTTGGGTACTCCTGGCTCCAAGGCTAGCTCTCTACTGCACCATACTGCAGGTTTTAGGCACTTAACTAATTATTGTTGGAATAATGAATGATCACTTATTGATCATATCATAGGAGAGGATTCTTGCTCAGGTTTACCCTGGGCCAGGTGGCCTCTGAGGTCCTTCAAAACCTGAGATTCTGTTACGAACAAACGGTCAATGTGCCACAGTAAGAGTCAAACCAGCCTGGGAGTCAGAAGCCCTTAGTTTTAGGTCCACTAGCTTGGTGGGCACCAGCCAGCCTGGATGCTTGTGACAAGTCACTTTCCTCTGGGTCTCCAGTTCCTGGCTTGTAAAATGTATGGGTTGGCTTAAATGATCTCTCAAGATCTCTTCCAGCTCCAACATGCAAAAATCTTGTCCCCTGCCCTTGACATCTCATAACTCTGTTTCCCAGTTGCCTGTGCCTCTGATTTTCTAGACCTACAACCTCTTCTCCACTGCCAAGAACTGCTCTCTCTTAAACCCAAAGGTTAAGTAGCTATTTTATAACTCATTTGACAAGCCCCTCCAAAGCAAACCTTCTCCATATCCTGGTCTCCTTTCCCATGTCCAGTAATCCACCATCTTTTTGCACGTGGGGGTGATTGGTTAATATTGCTTGAGAAAGATGCTAGAGGGTTTGTAGTATTTATTACAGCAATCCAGGAAAGCCTGGCCTGGTAGAATTACTGACATGGGAGAGCCTAGCCTTTGCTGGCAGTGAAGCAGGAAGTAGCCTGGAATGACTCCTAATTCCTTTTGGAAGAGACTGATGCTTTGTGCAAACTCAGGCTTCCATCTCCAGGCAGTTAGAGCCAGGATTCCCCACCCTGGGTTCACAGAACTCTAGGGGGTCTTCACTTATCTCAGTGGGAGAAGTCATGAAATCCTCAAAACCAAACTACTTTTAATTTGCTTTCATTTTAAAAATAAATATAACCCTTGCGTCAGCAATTCTCCTATGACAGAGGGGCCTGAGTACATACACTTTGGAGGATTTCACAAACTACTTAAGAGTTGGAAGAAACCTCAGAAACCATCTAATCTAAACCATACCTGACCACAGTAAATGAGGGGCAGTATGGCCTAGGAGATAGAGGCCTGGTCTTGGAGCCAGTAAAACCCGGCTTTGTGACCCTGGGCAAAGCACTTAACTTCCCAGGGCACTAAGCAGCTCTTGAGGACTATGGCAGAGGGACTTTTCTCATCCAAGGGTCCCCTATATAAAAATGCTAGCTATTATTGTTATAATCATTACCACGTGCCAGGCACTTTGCTATAAAGAAAGGCAAACAATAACTCCTTTTCCCAAGGAGTTCACCGTCTAATGAGGGGGGAGACAATACGCAGATAACTATGTGCATACGAGTTACATATATGATAAATTGGAGATAAACTCAGTGGGAAGATGCTATGATTAAAAAGGTTTCTTGCCAAAATTGGGACTTTACTGAGACTTGAAGGAAGCCAGGAGGCAGAGATTGAGGCAGGAGGGTCCTACCTTCTACAAGAAGGCTTCCCTGATTAGAGCTGACCTGAAGCCTTGAAGGTTAATGTGTTCTCCCTCACTAGACTTGTGTTGGAGGCTGGGTGAACATTTTTCGGGTAGTTCATTAAAATGATCCTTGGTCAGGTACCAGCTGGCCTCAATGGTCAATGAAGGGCCTTTGATCCTGAGATTCTGTGACTCCTCTTTGAGTGTAGTCATTCAGCCAGCTCCAGATCTCCCTAACTCTATGGTCATCTAGCCTTCATTTCTCCACCTTGCTCTCAAGGACAGCATGAGAGATATTGGCAAAGACTTTGCTGAAATCTTGACATGCTCTGTCTACGTCAAACCTTTCCAAATCTACTTCTGGCCTGCCTTTCCAGTCTTATTTCATATCACTCCCATTCTAGTCAAAGAGGTCTACGAGCCATTTCCAGGGTGGTGCAGTAGAAAGAGCACAGGCCCTGAAGCCAGAGGACCTGGGTTCAAATCCTATCTCTGACATTTACTGCCTATGTGACCTTAGACAAATCCCTTAGCCTCCCTGAGCTTCAGTTTACCTAATCTGTAAAGTGAGCATGTCCATGATCCTATGAATCCCCATACACGGAATTCCATCTTTGCCCTCGTACCTGTGGTCTTGTAGGTATGGAATGAATTCAACCTTGTAGAATCTCTAGCTTCCTTCGAAGCACAGCTTAGATGGACCTAGATGAGACCTTTCTTTTCTTTTTTCCATGCTTTGAAGTTTAAACTTCATTGTTAACATGTTTTCCATCTCTTTCTTAAATTTAGACACTCAACAAAATGATAAAACAAGTCCTCATTTGACGAGGCCTTTCTTGATTCCCTCCACCACCTCCATGACACACTTATTAGCCCTTTCTTCCTCTTGAAATTACTTGGTATTGTGAATCTCTGTACATGCTCTAGCCCCTAGCAAGCTCTTTAGGTCAGGAGTCATCTCACTTATGTCTCTTTATCCCCAGCACCTAGCATAGTGCTTCACATATAAGGCTAGGGATAGGCACTGGACCTGTGTTTTCACTGATATAGGGAACTCCCAAATGAATGGACTCCCTCTACCAATACCTTTCATGCCATAGATGCTTAAATGTTTGTTGAATTAGGTTGGATTGGATTGAACTGGATCAGATGGAAGCATTCCTCTAACCTACCAGTCTAGTTGCCCAGGCAGAGTTAATTAGTTAGTGAAGCTAGTTGACCATAGTCTGTTCTTACTGAACCACTTGGGCCTTCACTAATCACTTCTTCCCTTGGTCAATGTACTAGTCAACCGTCCCTTTAACAAAATATCCTGGAATTTTGCCAGGAGCAAAAGTCAAGCTCACCATTTTCTAGACTGCAGATTCCATCTTCTATTTTTTTTTAACTTATTTTCACTCATTTTCTTCTCAAGGACAGTTCCAGGATCATTAACTGCTCAGCAATTCCATCTGCTGCCTCTCTTAGCTCCTTAGCGTGTGTCTCATCCAGGCTTGACGACTTGAATTCATTGAAGGCAGCTGGTTTTCCTCTTACCACTTCTTCGTTTATCTTGACTTTCAAATTTCTGTCCACATTCTTTATTTGGCCCTTTCCAGTCCAAAGAGCATTTCCCTTGGCTAAGAAAACAGAAACAAGCTAAGAGCTGAGTAGTTTCATCTTCTCCTTGATATCTGGTATTGCTGTCCCCCTATCCTTTCTTTGATCTTCCTCTTGTCATGGTACGGGTTTTAAATCTCTCCTCTCTTTTTTTGTCCTTAACATTCAGTACCAACCTCGGATCAGTCTGAGCTTTAGTGTCTGTTATCACAACTGTTCTTGCATTCAGCCTGTTATCCACCCTTGCTTCTATCTTCTATGTGTGTCTTTTTAAAATGGAAGCTGATCTCTGCATTTCTTGTACATCCGAATTAATCTCTCTCTCTGGCTCCATAGTTGCTCCTCCACTAAAATACTTTGCATTTGTGTATTCCACTTTCTGAGAACATCTCATCCCTTTTTAGACGGACTACACATGCAGAGTTTTAAAAAGATCATGTGACCCTACCTATCCTATCTCTGACCTCCCCTCTAGGTCCCCCAAACACAGAGTTTTTAATCAGATGGCCCCCAGTTTATTTCTTCTCTATCACACATTCTGACATGGCCATATGTAGCCCATAGCCACCATGATTCCAACAAGTGATCACGCCTATCATTGACAAGGAGAATCTTGAATTGCAGACTAAAGAACTTGGACTTTATTGAGTAAGAAATGGGGCACTGTTGAAGGTTTTTGAATAGAGGTGTGATATGAGCAGAACTATGCTTTGGAAAAATTCATATGTTGTGTCTAGAGGTGGCTGGTGGCAAAGTGCTAGGCCTGAAGTCAGGAAGACCTGAGTTCAAACTCAGCCTTCGACCCTTAATAGCTTTGTGACCAGGGGCAATTCACTTCACCTCTGTTTGCCTCAGTTTCCTCAGCTGTAAAATGGGGATAACAACAGTGCCTACCTCCCAGGGGTAGTATCAAATGAGAGAATAGTTGTTAAAAGTGCTTACTTCAGAGCCTGGCACAGAGCAGTCGCTATGTAAATGCTTATTCCCTATCCCCCTTCCCTCTCTCTCCCCTGGGATGAGTTGGAGAGAGAGAGGTTGGAAGCAGAAATATGTTAGGAGCCTTTTGTAACAAGTCCAAATAATGAGATCCTGAACTCAGATGGGTATAGTGGGAATAGAAACACACACTGAAATGATCACAGCTCTCAAATATTGTGTTAGCGAATCAAGATGTCAAAAGAAGATAATTGATCTGCAAGATGGCAATTCTCAAAAAGGTCATTTCTTGGGTTATATACATGGATCCATAGGTGGGCAAGGATCATATTACTCTCAGAATGAATTTAAATGCCTCGTGTGGCACCATCGTGGGTCAAAGGGAGACTGGCCAATTTTCCCAGGGCTTAAAAGTCATCATTTGTAGAAAGATCCCAAAACTTGAGAGTTAGGAGATGCAGGATCTTCCACTGACTGTGTTCCATCTGAAAAGTCATTTAACCTCTCTAGGCCTGTGTTTCCTTATCAGGTAATAATATCTGCCCTATCTACCCTATAGAGATGTGATTAATAACAAATGAGATAAGGGACTTTCCCTTCAAAGTAGCTTTGAAAAGTTAGAAGCTCCAGAAATGTAAGACATTAATACTAATGGCAATAAAATAACAATAATAATAAAAACATTTCCTAAAGCTGAGCCAAGGGAACAATATACATAAGGACTACAATGATCTAAAAGGAAACAACAGTAAAAAGTCATCAGAATTCCAATTAAATGGCAAGCCGATCCTGGTTCCAGAGGACTAGGGATGAAGCGAGCTTCTCCCCTCTTGGGGAAGAGGTGGTGAATGATTGCAAAAGGCTGTGTGTGCACTGGGGGCCTGATCACTTTTGACTAGATTTGCTTTACTGTTTGTCTTTGTTATAAGGGAGGATTCTGTGGGTTGGAGGGAAGAGACAAGGGGAGGGAGACAGAAATCACTGGAAAAAGAATATGATGAAAAAACAAAAAGCATTGGTAGCCCATGGTTAGCACGGCTCCAGCAAGGGCCTCCAAGGTCACCTAGACCCAGATTTGATCCTGGGATCCCTGACCTCAAAGAGTTTCTGCCACTACCCTGGAGTAACTCTAGGGAAATTTCTAAAAAACGAAGCTTAGATATGGCTATGGTTGCCAAAAAATGTGGGTTAAAGGGGCCTGGAAAAATACTTAATGGACAATAGGGGCATCAGGGGTAGGACAGCTATTTATTTCTTCTGCCAAAGAAACTGAATAATACACAAAAGAACTAATGAACAGATACAGAAAATAGAAAACAATTAACCTTTTACACTCATTACAGCACCTCCCTACCCTCCCCATTCCTAAGGTAATGACAACTTTGTGGTATCACTAAACATATTTCACATTCACCTTGGACCCATGTTGCCCAAGCAGCTCACCAAGTCCAGAGCTCCTGGCTAGCCATGGAATGGTATCTTTAGTTCTTCAGCTATAAGATGATTCTGCCAGTGGTGATCTTCTCCTCTGAAAACAAAACAAAAAATATGCTACTATGAAATACTTTCTGGATGGGAAACAGGAACCTAACTGAGGAAGTGAAGAACTCATAAACTCATAAGACAACCCCCTAGGCTGGTGTCATCCATTTATCAGGATCACTGGTTGCTGACCTGTGTCCAGAGAAAGAAACAGAAAAGCAGAAGACAGCTAGGGACTCAGGGTCTAGTCTCAGACCCACTGAAACAAGCACACATTCACACAGTCATGTGAAGGTACTAAAGGCCAACATTTATACTTGGAGGGAAATAGTGGAGAGAAATCCTCTCCCCACTAATGAAAATCCAAAGTCTATTCAATGATGAAGACATCCAAAAGAGAAGGGAAGAGTTGTTTTCACAGCTCTTATAATCCTACAAGAGTCCATCCATATGATTCTCAGAAACCAGTTATCTTCATGGGAGTGCCAGTTATTAAGGACCAGTCAGGAGTGCTCTATCTTCAGCAAGGCATGCGGCCCTCATCAAGAAAGCAGAATTATGTTCAACTCCTTGGGATATGCCCCAGTTCAACAAGTCCTTCTGATTCCCTTGGCACACATCAATAAAACATTAAAAATAATTTTTTCTATAAAAGACGCTCTAAACTCCATGTGCCATATGAAGAATATTTGAAGGAAATGGAAATGTTTGGCAAAGAGATGACTTAAAGGGAAGATGTATGATCGTACGGTGCAGTGGAATGAGCTCCAGATTTGAAAGCAGAAGACATGAGTTTGAATCTCAGTTCTGCTTTTTACCATCCGTGTAACTTTGGACGAAGCAGCTAGGTGTTGAAGTGGATAGACTGCAGGACCTAGAGTCAGGAAGACTAATCTTCAAGAGTTCGACTCTGGCCTCAGACACTAGCTTTGTGACCCTGGACAAGTCACTTCACCCTGTTTGCCTCCATTTCCTCACCTGTAAAATGAGCTGGAGAAGGAAATGGCAAACCACTCCAGTATCCAAAACCTCAAATGAGGTCACAAAGAGTCAGAAATGACTGAAGAGCAACTTCTCCAGGCTTCAGTTTCTTCATCAAGAGACTCAATTTGTTTTAGCTTTTATTTAGTATTTTATTTTTCCCCAGTTACATGTAAAGGCAACTTTAAACATTCATTTTTAAAACTTTGAGTTCCAAATTCTCCCCCCTCTTTCCTCCCCACCCCACCCATTCAGAAGGCAAGCAATTTGATATAGGTTATACACATGTAGTCGCACAAAACATATCCATAATAGTCATGTTGTGAAAGAAAACATAAACAAAAGAACCTCAAGAAAAATAAAGAAAGTTTAAAAAAAGTATGCTTCAATCCGTATTCAGACACCATCAGTTCTTTCTCTGGGGATGGATAACATGTTTCATCATAAGTCCTTTAGAGTTGTCTTGGATTGTTGTATCACTGAGAATGACTAAGTCATTCACAGCTGATCGTCTTACAATACTGCTATTACTTTGGACACAATGCATTTTACTTTTCATCAGCCAATGCAAGTCTTTCCAGGTTTTTCTGAGAGCATTCTGCTCATTATTTCTTTATAGTACAATAGTATTCCATCATGATCACACACCACAACTTATTCAGCCATTCCCCAATTGATAGGCATTCCTTCAATTTCTAATTCTTTGCCCCCAAAAAAGAGCTACCATAAATATTTTTTTACACATAGGTCCTTTTCCTTTTTGGGATACAGACCTAGTAGTGGTGTCGCTAGGTCAAAGGATATACATGGTTTTATTGAGAGACTCAATTCTGAGAGGCAGTGGAAAGACAATTGGGTTTGGAGTCAGGGGAGTTAGGTTGCAAATTCTGGCTTTGTTACTTATTCCCTGAGTGACCTTTGGTAAATCACTTACCCAAGGCACTTTCTGGGTCTCGGTTTTCTTATCCAGATTCTGAGAGAGGTGGGGTAGATAACCCTTATGGTCTCTTTCAACTCTTAATCTATACTTCTATGATCGCTGTCTTATTTATGGAAGTGGGGTTAGGTTTATTCTGTGCTCTTCCAGAAGAGAGGTACAAGACCAATAAATCAGTAGCAGTTACAGGAGAAGCAAATTTCTAATATTACTAGAGAACTGTGCAACAAGATGATGTGCAGGGGAAGGGTGGGGGAGTAAGTGAGCTCCCTGTCATTGAAAATGTTCAAGCAGAACATTATTTATTAGTGAATTTGTAGATGCTCTCTAAAAGTCCAACTGGAAAAATCTCTAATTCTATAACTCTATAACATCTATAGCTAGCCCAGAGTTATGACACTGGACATGTCTGTATTTAATCTTTGTACATGTATGCAAAGCAAATCAACCCTAGACTTGTTGAATCCATCCTGTTTTATACCCTGGGACCATCGCACACAATCTCACTGAAATGGTAATAGGAGCACATTGACTCCCATGGGAGGTCAAGGTATGCTTTTCTTTGCCTGAACACCTTCAGAGCCAATGGCCCTTACGAAGCCACTAGGGTAGGGTGGGAAGAGGATGGAGACTGGGAAATACACAATGAAAATGTTGACTGATTAATCTGTTACAAGTGCAAGAGTTTAGCCACATGGCTACTACCACTGCTGAGTGATGTGTTTTACCCGGGGCAGGATGAACACAGTATAAGATTCATGGCCATGGGGTCAGAAGGCACAACAGGCATTAGGGACACAGAAAGGTCATTGGGGAGGGGTAGGTGACAAAGTCAGGGCAGAGGAGCGTCCTTCATCACCAATGTAGTGATGAAGAAGTCATGGGAGTCATATATACACTCCTCAGTGGTTGAGTTCCTGTTTTTCTGGAAATACCCCTCACTTTGAAAGAAGGCCAGAAAATGGGATATTCACACTCACGTGGGCTCTCTTTGGCTCTATCTTGGTTCAGATGAGAGCCTCAAACATCTTTGTTTTGTATCTTGAAGCTCTTCATACAGAAATGGCCGTGACAGATGATTTCATTTCAGAATCTTTTTATAAGAATATTAGCAATGATACCTCACATTTACCTGACACATTTAGGTTTGTAAAACATTTTGTCCACAACAGTTCTGTGAGGTGGACGTTGTAAATAACATTACTACAATTTTACAGATGTGGAAACTGAAGTCCAATGAGGTAAAAATGACTTGCCGACGGTCACTCAACCATTAAGAGTCAGAACCAGGATTTGAAGCTGTGCCTTCCAGTTCTTGGTCCAATGCACCTTCCCCCATACCAGGTGTACCACTCTGCTTTTCCCACCAGAAAGACTATGTGACCAAGGACCCACATACTTAGCCCTAAAATGAGTTGGGACACCTAATCCCTCTGAGGTGCTGAAGTGTCTACTGCCCAGGTCCCTGGCATTGGGAATAATCCTCACGTATAAGGGACATTTCCCTACTTGTGTATAAATAGTCATGGGACACGGGATCTTCGGATCAGAGATGTATGGCTGGAAAAAGCTTCAGAGACCATCTTGTCTGCCACTCTCATTTGATCAAAGATTATGAACAAATGGATTTCAAAAGACAAATTGCAAACATCAACAACCATGTGAAAGAATGTTCCACGTTACTGATGACAAGATAAATGTCAACTGAAACAACTCTGAGGCTTCACCTAACAACCAGCAAAGTGGCGTTATAAAAGATGATGGGGGTCTGTGTTGGAGAGGCTACAGGGAGACAGGTAAACTAATAATACACTGTTAGCGGATCTGTGAATTGGCCCAATGATTCTGGAAAATGATTAGGAATTGCACCAGAAAATTCAGTGAACTGTTTTCAACCAGTTATCTCTTTTTCTTTGCTACAAGGGAAGGGTCACTGGGTTTGGGGGAAGGGTAAAATCTGGAAATGACTATGATGTGAAAACAAAAGGAATTAATAAAACCTTCATTAAAAATAGCACTAATAGGGGCAGCTAGGTGGCTCAGTGGATAGAGCACCAGCCCTGGATTCGGAGGACCTGAGTTCAAATGCGGGCTCAGACACATACCATTCACTAGCTGTGTGACCCTGGACAAGTCACTTCATCCCATTGCCTAGCCCCCCCCCAAAAAATAGCACTAATAATAGCCAGGTGGTCTCCATGGGCCTGTGGGACCCGCAGAGTAACTTGTGATCTACTGCTCTGCAAAGAAGAGCTTAATTTAGGCCTCCCTGTCGCTGTCCTCTCTTCGGGTTTCTTCCTCCTAGTGTTGTTCTATTGTTCTTACACAAATTCCTTCTGCTTCCTGTGAGACTTCATTCAGGAACTCTCTGGCAACTGGAGGAAATGCTTGTGTGCGAACTTTCAAGACTGGGTGCCCCTCCCAGCGCCTGCCTCCGCTGGGCTGGCTCAACTCTCCCTTCCCTGCCTGGATATCTGTAGGATACAGAACCGTGAGATGGACCTCCCCCAGGACCCTACTCACCGAGCAAGCATGCGCAGCTCTCCTGCCTGCATTCGGGCTGGGGCTCAGGAGGGATCATTAGGAAGAGCCAGACCCCACCATGCTTTGCTGCTGCCCTGGGTCTTTCCAACCGCTCGAAGATGCCTGGTGCCGCCAATCACACACTTTCCGGAGTCTTATCAGTAATATCAAAGTGTGCATCGGAGCTGGGCAAAGCAGTGAAATCAGAGGGAGAAACAGGAACGCTTCTTTTCCGTCATTTCCAGGAAAGGCGCGGGGACTTAGCTGAAGATACTAGATATGTCCCCACTAATGTCCAGTAGCTATCCAATACCCATAATGAAAATGCCACTGGATTGGGAGACAAGGGGACATGTTTCTAACCTGCTGTGACTACTTCTCATACTCATCAATCCTGTGAGTTTGAACACTTCCAGTCACCCTTGTGATCCTCAGGTGGAGGCCAGATGGCAGAATCAATGAAGCGCTGCCCTTGGAGTAAGGGAGACCTGAATTCAGATACAAGCAGCTTGATGACCCTGGCAAGTGATTTAACCTCAGCTTCCTTACCTATAAAATGGAAATAGTGGCACCAACCTCACAGGGTTG